ATTCGGGTTTCGGGTTATTCGGTCCGGGTTACCCGAATAAAGGTTTAACCGGGCCAAAAAGACCGACCCGAAAAGTGAATAGTCACTTGAACCGAATAACCCAAATAAACCGAAATGACCCGAATAACCCAAATAAACCGAAATGATCCGATCATCCGAATAACCCAAATAAGGAAATTACATATTTAGTTCAAGAAAAAAAATATTAAATTAATATATTTTTTTCTTGAACTAGATATATAATTTTTCTTATTTTGGTTATTCTGGCCATTTCGGTTTATTTGGGTTATTCGGGTCATTTCGGTTTATTTGGTTTATTCGGTTCAAAAACATAGAGTAAATGTTTATTTGGTTATTTCGGTCCTATTGGATTAATAACCGAACCGAAATCCGTACTACCCGAACTGAACCGGTCCATATTAGTATAATCGGTCCGGGTTTCGGTTCCCATTTTTCATCCAATTCGGTTTTTGGGTTATTCGGGTTCGAGTCGGTTCCGACCCGAAGCACATCCCTACTCCAACCTTTTAAAAATTCAAAGTCTCTTAAAAATCCATACTGCTAAATAGCTCTAACTCGAATTACTAATTTGGTTATTTGTAATGATGGATGACCAAGAAGTTTCTACCATAGATCCAAAAATGTACAAAGTATGGTCCTGGATAACATTCAAACCTTTAGTGAAATTGAAAAAAACTATAATGTTGATCAATTAATTAATTGAGACACGAATATTAATTTGTAAGCAAGTCCAGGAAAAAAAAACATTTCTCCAATGAAGATGCATGTTAAGGACAGCACTCATACTTTAGTAGCTACAAATACAATGTCTGCTTCCATGTATCCAATAATCATATAAGACACAAGTCCTAACGGTGGGCAACACTTATAATTTATGTCTTCCTTGCTTTCCTAAACAAACCTTAGACACTCCTAAATTACATGATTTTTCTTATTTACATGATTCACACACTATGTCTATACTCAACATTATTAGACATTACTGTTTTCTATTGTTAGAGTTAATGAGGTTGTTACATTTTTTTTTTGTAAGTTTTGAAATTAAAATATATATGAATTTGAGTTTTTGAAAGGTTTTCCTGATTCGGTTTGTGTTCGACTTTTAACAAGTTAGATATGTTCAGATAATTTAGTCTAGAAATTACCAGTTTCAAGCCGAACATACCAGTTTCAAGTCGAATAGAATTGCCTCAAACAAGTTTGTCCATAGTTAACCAATAACCAACCGGTCTAGATTAGTTTGAAAAGCATGTATGTATACCTCTAGACTTATGCATGCATCTATCCCGAACTTGATATATAGGGATCAGAGGTGCACAAAAGTAAGAATTATCAAAATTTGGATAACTTTTTGTCTGGATTAGATCTGATCGGATGAAGTGTTAATAAGAAGACCGGATTATGTGTTTTAGAAATGGACATTACTTGTTTTTTTGGTAACCGTGTTTCAGATAATCCTTTTTTTTTATGAAATTTAAATTTAACTGTACATAAACAAATACTTGCATTATATTTGGTTTTATAATACAAAAAAAAAGGATAAAAAATACAAGAACATCAACTTAGAAGTTACAAACACAATTTTTCGTTGGCCAAAGGGTCATTTTCATGAAATAAGATATAGTGGGCCAGGACGAAAAAAAAGAATGGGCCCTAAATGCTAAACAATTTTGTAGGGCCGGTCCAAAGATATAATGGGCCAGGACAAAAAGAAAGAATAAGACCTTAAAGTTGAAAAGAAACAAACCGTTATAAAATTCACTATTAATATTAAAAAGCAAAAATATAGCAACAACATTTAAAAAAAAACAACTAATTTTAAAAAAAATGTTTTTCCTAGCATTTTTAGATAAGTTAATTTTTTTCTCTCTATATATATACCATATATTCTAGGAATTTTGGGCCCCTTAGAGACATGAGCCATGGACGACCGCCCGGGTTGCCCACTGTCTAGACCGGGCCTGCAATTTTGGTTGGTATCTTCATCCATGATGTCATCCTTATCTACTTCGAGTATCGGAGGTGATATCCTTTGTACAATATCTTTTGATGGATGTACTCATTGACGGGGTGGTAAAAGTGGTCATTTAAACGAAATAATTTTATATCATTTCAAACGTCATCCAATTAATCTTTCAAATAAACTATACTTCGACTGGTTTGACGATGAGTAATGACCGTTTCAACATATTTGTAGAATCATGAATCAAACAAATAAAATGGTTACCATGCCAAAAAAAAGGTTTTTGAGATGCGTCTCGTATTAGGATCATTTTTCCTCCATTTAAAAAATGATTTAGAACTAAGTGGTTTATAGATAATAAGCACTAATAATAATGTTGTTGCTTTTTATAAAAACTTGTAAAAACATCACATAATTCTTTGAGTGAATTTCAATCCTTATGGATTGGAACCAGACCGTCTCAGAAGATGGATGATAAGGACCCAATTTTTATATGAAAAATGTTATATTTAAAAGATAGAATAAATAATTTTCCTTCGGTTATTAAGTTGTTATAAAAACCTGATTAATTTGTATATTTGAAGGACCCGTTTTTCCCTCTCGTCCCGGATCCAAAATTTATTTGAAACAGCCCTGATTGAAACAACTCAACATTTTTTTTGCTAGCAAATTATAAAAAACTTCTAAATACATTTTTTTGTCACAAACATACTTTCAAATATCAGAGGTAGAATTCTATCTATTATTATTGTTTTAGTTCGGTCCGATGATTTGCCGCATTAGTTACAAAAATAATTATAATTTGTTGTTTTTTCTTTATTTGAACCATAAATTGCATTTAATAAACCTCTAAATTATCTTATTTTTAGTTCCACTTGCACGAGTACATTAATTATAGGTGTAGGGATGTGAAAAAGTCTCGTGGAACCCCGAACCCGTGGGGCCCCCGATCCCTATGGGAGATATTTATTAAAAAAACGGGGACGGGGCGGAGGCGGGGACAATGTTAACCCCCGTTTTAATTTCGGAGGCGGGGATAGGGATAGACAGTTCCGTCCCGAACCCCCATAGGGTCCCCGTTAATAGATTATATATGTGTGTGTGTGTGTGTATATATATATATATATATATATATATATATATAAATAATAAATAACAATGATTTTGAGCTTCTAAAAGTCAACAAAAAATTATGTTTTTAAGTTGTTAGTATAATGTTTTTTAGATGGGATAAAAATTTTGTTTTTAACATGTAAAATTATGTTATAGATAACTACTTTTAACCTAAAAAAATAACTTTTTTAAGCCCAAAAAACTTCTTTTAGCTCAAAAAAATATTCCAAAATTAATTGGAGGTGGGGAAACGGGGGCGGGGTAATCCATAAATACGGAGGCGGGGTGGGAGACTGAAAATTTTTGGGGCAGAGACGGGGATGGAGGAATGAGGAAATTTCGGGAGTGGGGGAGGGGGATGCAATCCCCGTCCCGTTTGCCCCGTTGACATCATTGTATAGGTGCAACATATTGATTATGTAAAAATATCATCTAAAATAGATTTTACACATAGTTTTAGTCGGTTTTGACAACGGAAGTGTTATTTGAAACACTATAAATCGACATTGTCTTTTTTTTCTAAATTAAATTGAATACTTATGTTGTACAAAACTTTATGTAAATATAGACCAGTATGCAGATAACAATACAATTTTAACGAAACAGTTCATATCATTGTTAGCCAAGTTTGCAGATAGAACCAATGTGCCACACGTGCTAGCTAGGAATTGACGTTTGAGAGGTGTCCAAACGTCAGATGTCAAAGAAATCACCGTGATTATATCCTAACACTATATTGGATTTTACTCCAGTCCAAAGTTTTATTGTATCTCTTTCAAGGATAGCACGACTTATTTGAGTATAACACACTTGAGGCTTTGTTCAGATAATTTTGCAAGTTGTGGGTTGTCGAAATGGTCCAAGCTTTTTCGATAACAATACTTTGTTGTTGTAAATGAGTAAAATACCATCTGATCAGATAATAGTTTGCATCAGATCGAAATTGCCTTGTTTCATCACTTTGCAAGCATTCTCCGTATGATGTTTCGATATTAAGTTTCCACATGGTTATAAAACTTCTCGGATGTTTTTGTATGACCTTTTTCTCTCCTACATTCATAATGCACAAATTGTAGTTACATCAAACAATCGATGTTTCAAGAAGTTTGTTTAACTTCCATTACATCAACATGTATATCATTTTTTAAGTTACACCGGTATCATCGACATAATTGGAACAAGAAGCTTGTGATGTGATGTGCCATTTTCAATTTTGAAAGTAAAAAAGAGGTCGGTATTACAAAAACATCGAAAATAATGAATGATTTTTTGTGGTGAGTTGAACCAAATAAACTAATACTTATTTATTTATAAAGTAAATTATACGAATAGTCCCTATGGTTTGGGGTAATTTGCGTGTTTGGTCCTTAACTTATTTTTTTAACTCGGAAGGTCCCTACTGTTTGTTTTTGTTACGTTGTTGGTCCATACTGTTTGTTTTTGTTACGTTGTTGGTCCTTACTGTTTGTTTTTGTTACGTTGTTGGTTCCTGCTGTTTGTTTTTATTACGCGTTTGGTCTCTGTCTTACCTAAAAAGACTATTATTTGAATAGGGAAAAATGGTGGGGTATGTAAGATAAGGTGAGGGGTTGGGGGTGTGTTTATTTAAATAAATTAAAAAATCAAGGACAAAATAGTATTTTTAGGTAAGACAGGGACCAAGCGCGTAACAAAAACAAACAATAGGGACCTTCTGAGTCAAAAAAAAATAAGTTAGGGACCAAACGTGCAAATTAACCTAAACCATAGAGACCATTCGTGTAATTTACTCTTATTTATATTAATTTGATGGGCTTGTCAAGAAACCGTTTTGAAACACAGTTGGCCCAATACTTATATAACCCGACCCGACTCCATGATTATGTCTAGCGTCATTGCAACGCTTTTTGCATCTCCGTATATAGTGGACAGACATCATCAATCTTCACCTTCCTCCATTTCTCCCATTTTCGAACACGCACGATTCTTCGTTAACCGCTCGTGCGAATCTACCATTGTCAAACAATCTAGGGTTACAGCACTAGTTTGTATTACTGTACTTCAATTTCGGATTCAATGTCTGCCTTTGGCATGGCTTCTGCTACCAATACCAATCCAAACAAGTCAACCGAGGTAAAGCGAAGCTTCCATAATTCACTTTCTTTATATGTTACTTTCATTACACTTCAATTCAATCACTCAATGTGTCGTGGTATGTATTTGTTGATTTATTGATCTGTATGTTCCTTCAATTAATGTTCCTCATAAAGTGTTTCTGGTTTAGATAAAAAAAATTTAACCGTTATTGTTTAGAATTCAAGTGTTTCTGATGTAACTATCGGTTCTGTATAGGTTGTATCACCTCCGACGGATGCTGTATCAAGCCTTTGTTTCAGTCCCAAGGCGAATTACCTTGTCGCTACTTCATGGGATAACCAGGTTCGTGTGATGTTAATCAATCCGATTGTGTTTATGAATCATTGATTCGTTAATTTTCTTTTGCGCGATATTTCTATTACACGCATCACTTTAATGATTTGTTTCTGAATTTTTTTCTATCTTTGTCTCCTGTTTGCAATTGCAAACCAGATAACTTCATGGATCATTACAGTTCTAAGTGAATACAGTTATGATCTTTATCAAACTATTACTTGTGATCTGATTTCCATGATACTACGAAACAATTGCAGGTGAGATGTTGGGAGATAACAAAAAACGGAACTGCTCTTGGCTCTGTGGCAAAGGCATCAATAGCACATGATCAACCGGTAACATCAAGCTATATGCATTATTCTCATCTGGATAATGAACTAATAACAATCATTCTACATTCTGATAACTCTTCTAATCTCACCCTTTCTTTCATACTTGTAGGTTTTATGTTCAGCTTGGAAGGATGATGGAACAACAGTCTTCTCTGGAGGCTGTGACAAACAAGTGAAGATGTGGCCATTACTCTCTGGTGGACAACCAGTAACTGTTGCTATGCATGATGCTCCTGTTAAAGAGGTTGCTTGGATTCCAGAAATGAACCTTTTGGTATCAGGAAGTTGGGACAAAACTCTAAGGTGTGCAGATCGCAATTAACTATAATTCTCTCTATCTTTGGAACATTAATTTGATTTCCATATCTGCTTCATTTATATTTCAATTTTTTTTTGTAGATACTGGGACTTGAGGCAACCTAATCCAGTTCACACTCAACAACTTCCTGAGAGATGCTATGCACTTACAGTGAGACATCCATTAATGGTAGTTGGCACTGCAGATAGAAATCTTATAGTATTCAACTTGCAAAATCCTCAGGTATTATTATTCTACTTCACTCACATCAATAAGCAACAATAGTATTATCATAATTTCTATTTTCTTTAAAGATTTCAAAAGGGTTGTGGTATTGACTGAATGTGGATCACAATAGGCTGAGTTTAAGAGAATTGCCTCCCCCTTAAAGTATCAAACTAGGTGTGTTGCTGCATTTCCTGATCAACAAGGCTTCTTGGTATGTTTCTAATTCCATAACAATCTTTGTCTTTAAAATGAATACTTTTTTTTTATTTTATTTTTTTTTCATAATTTGGGTTTGTAGGTTGGGTCAATTGAAGGGAGAGTTGGTGTGCATCATCTTGATGAACAACAACAAAGTAAAAACTTCACTTTTAAATGCCACAGAGAAGGGAATGATATATACTCAGTCAATTCTCTCAACTTTCATCCAGTAAGTTACTCTAATTTCTTTTTAATATATCATTATACTTTCTATAATTGGAATAAGATAAAAATGAAATTGACCTAAATTTTCAGGTCCATCAAACATTTGCAACTTCTGGATCTGATGGTGCTTTTAACTTCTGGGATAAAGACAGCAAACAAAGATTGAAGGTATTTCAATTAGACATGTGACAAAATGACATGTCACCTTTTTGAGATTATTATTATTTATCAAAATCTAATTATTGTTTGACAGGCGATGTCAAGATGCAGTGCACCTATACCTTGCAGCAGTTTCAACAATGATGGTTCCATTTTTTGCCTATGGGGTATATTTCTAGTTTAAATTTTTATTTATGGTGTTTGATTTAAATTTTAAATTATTAGTGAATTAAATAATTACATTTGTAATGTTTAAGGTATGTTATGATTGGGGAAAAGGTGCTGAAAATCATAATCCAGCAACAGCCAAGACCTATATTTACTTGCACATGCCACAGGTCTGAAATCTGAATGTATTAACTTTTTTTTTTATTTATTTATTTATTTATTTATTTATTTTTTTGTGGAATGAAAAATAAAAATTTGGTTGTTAATATTACTACAGGAGTCTGAGGTTAAAGGGAAACCTCGTATTGGAACAAGTGGAAGGAAGTGAATAGTGTTGTTTTCTATTTCTAGATTGTAAATGTAAGGAGTTAATCAGTTTGTGCAGTTTTGCATTGATTCTTAGACCCATGTAGTAGACAATGAGGTTTGTTTTCTAATATTTTGTGGTCAATTGGTTGTTGGAGTTTGTTTTCTTGTTCATTGATATTATGGGATATTTTGTGTATAGCTGCCAGCTGTGCTTCCTGTTCTTAGGTCCAGTTTGTTATAAAATAACATACATAGAAGTTTCTCTTTCAAAAAAAAAAACATACATAGAGTTTGTTTGGTAAAATATAGCTCATAGCTGATAGCTGGAAAACTAACTGGTAACTGGAACCTAGTTAATAAAGAATGATGTTTGTAAAATATAAAATAACATAAAAAAGCATATAGAAAAATGATTCACTATTAAAGACAAAAATGTAATATATTTCTTAAGACTAAAATAAGTATTAACTAATGATTTTTTGATTATTTATGTTTTAAGGGAAATTTTTTCCATCCCATATTATATTCGTAATATTATATCAATGATCTTCATAATATAACTTGGTGATCAGTTTGTACAAAAAAAAAAGGTCATTTTATTAGACGACTATAATTTTAGTATTTATATAAGTATGTCTTAATTTTAATTAACGTGTGGGTGGGGTGGGGTTGGCGATGGGAGGTGTCATCTTTTCCATCCTTCATCCTCATTCCTGAACCCACAAGTTCTTTTTAAATAATCGTCATTTTTCTTGCAAAGTTCTCCTCCATAAAAGCATAAATTCTCCACCTTGAGCTCATTCACTCGATGCATTTTTTTTTTTTTTTTTTTGTCTTCAATATCTTCTTTGTTAACATTACCGAATTCAGTAAATTTAGAAACTATCTTTTGTAGTTCACCATCATAAAAAATAGTCTTACAAACTTATCCAAATTCAGTCTTGACCCGATATTTTCTTCTTCAATCTTTTACCATGGGTTGTTTACTACCCGATCATGTGGCCATGTGGGTTCATTACTTATTTAACATGCTTCTTTACAAACAAAAACACATCAACTAGTAACAAAAAAATATATTTTGTAAAAAAAAAACATAGAAGTATCAACAACAAAATGTATTTATTTGTTCATCTGGTTTACTACATAAAAAGACCAAAACACATTGTTCTTCCAATATCATTCAAGGTCTCTGCTTCCCACCTTAAAACTCTTAATCTATAAACACATTCAAAACAACAAAGACCAAAACTCTAGACACAATTCACCCCAAAAGTCTGAAACAAAAAAATATGCACAAAAGACAATAAATAACCAAATAAAAAAAAACCACCAATCATCTGGGGCCAGATAATTCATCAGGACGAAGGTTATAAGTTGAATCTGCAATAATCCAATCTGTATTTGTATTATGTGTTGCATTGAAATCTTGTCTGAACATTTCTTCTTTTTGCCATTCTTCCCACCTTTCAGCTAACCCATCACCTTCCAACATTCTCACAACTTCTGACATTTTTGGTCTCTCTAATGGAGTCCCTTGTGTGCACAAAAGCGCTACTTGTATAAGTTGTTCCACTTCATCATCTATATAATTACCTTTCAAATCCGCATCCACCAGTGTCTCCAACTTCTTTTCCCTTAAAAGCCCTTTCACCTGTATAATATTTTCAACGTTACAATTCTTGCTTCATGTAACATTTTTTAATTTATGTTATTGAAGTGTACAAAACTAATTACCCAATCAAGCAACATGACATCATCATCATTAGCAAGTCTAGCAAGATCAAAAGCTCTTTGACCCGTGATAAGTTCTAGAAGCATAACACCATATCCAAAAACATCGGTTTTTTCCGAGGATTTTCCGGTTGATAAATACTCGGGAGCTATGTGTCCAATGGTCCCACGGACAGCTGTCGTGACATGAGTATCTTTGTAGTCCATAAGTTTAGCCAACCCAAAATCTCCAACAACTGCTTCAAACTCTTCATCCAACAAAATATTCGCAGCCTTTACATCTCGATGTATAATCTTCGGGTCACAATGATCATGCAAATACGCAAGTCCTCTCGCGGATCCCAATGCAATCCGCTTACGTATTGGCCAATCAAGTGGCTCTTGTGTATCCGGTCTCTCTACAATTAATCAATTTCGTTACTACAATAAACAAATTAACAAAAAATTAAAAATTAAAAATTAAAAGAATACCTCTTAAGCAAGATGCAACACTACCATTGGCCATATACGGATAAACAAGCAAGCGTTCGGTGGGTGTCATGCAAAACCCTCTCAACCGAAGTAAATTCCGGTGAACCGCCATACTAATCATCTCCACCTCCGTCTGAAACTGCAACTCGCCGCCCTGAGTCCTCTCTTCTTTCAACCGTTTCACCGCCACCAAAGTCCCATCCGCCAACCGCCCTTTGTAAACTTTACCAAATCCGCCCCGCCCGAGAATGTGGCGGTTGTTGAAATTATCGGTTGCCACTTGTAATTCGCGAAGAGAAAACCGCTTCAATTGCCCTAAATGAACCTCGGGATCCTCTTCGGCTAAAAGTTTTTTTTAAGAAATGTGATTTTAGGGTTTGAGTTGATGAAATTGAAATCGTTAAAAGTATGTTTGCTATTTGGTGATTTTACTAACCGGGTACGTCGAAGAAATGATCCTGTGGTTTGCGGCGGCGCCACCATGCAAGCGCGATCGCCGGACCGGCAAATAGAAGGGCGGCACCCGCGGCAACTCCTCCCGCGATTGCCCCCGTCGCACTGTTTCCGACTGAAATAAAACGGCGCCGTTATTAACAAAAAAATGTGGATCGTTTGTTTTAGTCTGTGTACGTAGGAACGTACAGTACATGACATGACAGAACAGGTTGTACTGTATCTATCGACACTGACACTCAGATGACACTCAGATACAGGACAAACCAGGTTGTACTGTGTCTGACTAAGAAGACAGGACTAAATAGTATGTAATGTGTCGGAGTGAGACTGATGTCAATGAGACAAAAATTACAGTATAATGAAAAGTACCGGAAGGAGATGGGGAATTTGGTGGGGCCGGAGCTTGAGGAGAAACTGCGGGAGCTTTCAACTGAGGATTATTTGCAAAACTAAAAGAAAAAAAGTTGATTGTCAAAAAAAAGGTGTCAAATTGTTCATCAACGGAGGAGGGAAATGAATTGTAATATACCTTATAGGTGTGAAAAGAGAAAAGGAACCATTGACTGGAACATCTCCTCTTAGATTGTTGTTCGAAAGATCACTAAGATACGTATAAATATAATAATTCACTTTAACAATCATAATCTATGTAAAAAATAAAAAATAAAACATGTTTTGATACTTACAGAACTTGTAGTGAAGTTATAGTAGTTAACGAAATTGGAATAGTTCCCGTTAACGTGTTGTTGTTGAGACGACTGACATTGCAAAAAAATATGACATCAAAATTATTAAAAGTATTATAATAGCAATATGTAATGTAACACTTGTAAATATTTTACAAGTTTCATATTACATATTGTTATTATTGGTAAGGAAATGAAAGTACATTTTTATTATAAGTAGAAAAGAAAATTTGAATTATGAGAATTCATACAGGAAACGAAGCTTTTGGAGTTTTCCCAATGTATCAGGAATGCCACCATCTAATCGGTTGAGATAAAGATCCAAACTTACTAAGTTTGTTAAGTTCCCAAGTTCACTAGGAATTCTTCCAGTAATATTATTACTGTAAAGTTCCCTGTTAAAATGGAAGGAAAAAATAAATTAGGGTAAATTTGTAAAAAGAGTTAGGAATTAATAGGAAAAATTCGTTCTTACAAATACTGTAAATTAGTGAGTTCACCGAGTTGTGCAACGAGTTGACCAGACAAGTTTGCGTTTCCAAGATCACTGAGTATAATAAACACCAAAAAAGCACAATTTTTGTTTTTAGATGATAACAATAATATCGAATCGAATAATATTAATCTTAGCTTTAAGAAAAATAAGCTTACACTCGCGTAACGCTATTTTCATTATTACACGTAACATGAAACCAAGTACATGGATTTACAAGAGTCGCATCCCAACTTTGAAGAACATTATTCGGATCACCTAATTGAGTCTTTAACGCATTCAATGCATCTCCTGTAATCCCAAAAACATCGAATTGATAAATCTTTTGAACAAAAAATATGTCAAAATCGGGAAGAATTTGGGATATTTAGGCTTTACATCAATTACCTTTATTAGAACTATAGCTACTAAAATTGGGGGTAATTTCAAATCAAAACAAAACTCAATTGCAATGATTACTAAATTTGATTAGGCGACAGTATTATCAATTCAGGTAAAGGGAACACGTTCATTGAACTCAAATCAGAAGTCAAGAAAATGAGCATTGAATGCTAAAAAAGGTGATTCAAGAACAATAAAGCAGATACCTTCGGCATTCCCGTAGACTTTTGACAAGTTGTTGAACACCAAAATGAACCAGACAAGAACAGAAGCTGAAATCAAAGAAACTCGCCGATCCATTTCTTGAAAACGGGTTCGGGTCGGTCAAGCTAAAAAACCTAGATTTCTCATCGATTACTCATTCAGATCAAGAAATTGGAAATACCCAGAACCCGAAACACCAAACCCTAGGTTTAGAGACAGCTCAGACGAACAAAATCTATGTATATCATCCACAAATCTAATCAACCACAAAAGATGAAAACCCACTTCAAGAAATCTTGTATATGATGAAATCTAAAGAAAAAATTCGTGGGTTTTGCTGTAATCAGAGAAAGAGAAAGAGAAAGAGAG